GCATGGACCAAAAATGACTTTAAAGATTTTTTTAAAAGTTTTGATGAATATATCAACAATGCATACTGTCCATATTAAATACAAACTCTCAAAGAAATTTCATTCATTGGCTGAGTCATGGTACATAAAGGGTTAATCAAAGCATATTGAAAAATTATTTTTAAGCTTGTCGTACATACTAAATTCTCTCTACAAATCTTATTCATAAATTATTCATGTGTATTGTATAAGCAAAGCACACGACGCTTATAACTTTCTCTTCATTTTCTTTTTATTACCAATTATCATCATGATAAAGATTGTTTTAAGATGAAAATTGAAGAAAAGATAAAACATAAGGTAAAAGAGAGAAGTCAACAATATGATAAATAACCTTTTTAAAATTATAGATAAGTTGATAATCAATGCATTACCAGATAACTTGTGTTCAACTAAGAATTTCAACAAAATTTATTCTATTATATAATTGTGAATGAGTTTAGGACGAAACAGTGTACTTCAAGTGAACAAGTACGTTAAAGTACAAAGAAGTTTTACAGTATGTAGTAGTAGGTTAAAGTTATTTCGAAACAAAAAGTACACTGTAAGTCGTGTTGAGCAATGAAAAATATTTCTATATAATTATTTCAAGTTATTAAGCGCTCGATAATATTTCTTCCGATAGATAAAACATTCACATTGGGACATGATCACTATTTAAATAAGAAATTGTAATATATATTATTTTTGAATAAGATATGGATAAAAAAAATCAGATGCAAAATAATATAACATATAATGAGAAAAGGATGCATTTCAACGTAAACAAAATGCTTATTTCACATGGATTATCATAGTCATTCAATGATCTTTTTAATGATTACTTCTAATCCTAATTTTAGTATAATGATAGTTTCATGCGGTTAGATCAAAGCGTATATCGATTATCTCAGTCGTCTATAATTGTTGGATTCGAGATATTTTTATCTTAGATATTATTTTAGGGTGTTTTCCATAAATACTCAGGTAATAAATGATAATCTTCGAACAAGAGACAATTGTCACAGTTTTCAATATTTGAATATACAACCTTTTTCCGGTTTATTACAAAATAATGATGAATAATCGACGTTTAATGAATTCGTTTATTATTTGTATCAATGACTATCTGTTTTATGATTGTAATGTCATGATTGATTTCATCGTGTGGTAGTTGCTTGATGAGTTGTTTTTACAATGGTCTTGATCTCTAATATATAGTAGATGTATTCGCTGTACATTATCTTATTTGGCAACTTAAGTCGGCTATTAATCAATGGAAACTGAGGATGTGGATATTTATTTAGCAGGTGTCTCACCGTGTTTCATTATAAAATGTGTCAGTCTTCTCTGCATTTGTAATCGTATCCTACTGAAAATCGAAATAGGTTACTTGAAATAATTACTGGTGTTCTTATTCAACAATAAGTACTGATGAATCAGAACAAATTGTATTGACCATTTATTTAACTTACAGCTCAAATACGCGAACAGTGCGCACTTATATCGGTTTTGTCGATTTCAACCTCATTTTTTCTGTTGTTTTTCTTTTAATGATTCTGATCTTACAGTTCCTATGTTTTTGTGCTTAAAAGCATAATACAGAGTCCTGATTTACGTCGACACAATCAATAACTAATAAGTAAGAGGTCAGAAAAGCAAATTGATTTGTATCTTCAACATTCAAGTCGGTCTATTTTTCAATTGATATACCATCATTCTCATCCTCATCCTACATAGAAATCAAACTGTAAAATTCTAATTTGCATGTCAATATATAGAAAAGAATTTTCTCTATGTTGTCAAATCAAAGAACTGGCAAAAACAACTTAGTGATATCGTCAAAAGTCGAAATGTGCCTGGAAACCCTTGTAGCAAACAGTGTTTTAGAAGTTACCATATCGTGTAGTTGCTGAGCGATCTCTTAAAAAATAAAACTGAGACGCATTTCATCAGACACATAATTCAATAGACTACAAAAACATATGCTTCTTATCTCCAACCATTTTACTGGAATTTCTCAGTTAGTACTAATTTAGAGACATTCAGGCTAAGAGTCGGTGTCAACTCTTCCGAAATGACACTCACACTCACACTCCATATAAAAAGTTAGAAAGGTATATGTCTTTTCTCCTCGTTAAATTTCATGTTCTATTATAAGATGTGAGTATCCAAGTGCATCTAAAACAATTGTTATTATTTAAAATGAAAATATATTGATGCTAGATGCTGCAAACATAAGGGTATTAAATGTTTAACAATATGGTTTATAGGGTTTTGCTTCGGGATCGACTGGATAAGCTGGACATGAACATTTACAAGATATTATTTTTCCAGATTGATTCAATGGACATTGCGCATCACAACCGGCACATACATAGACATACCATGTACCAGCATTCGCTTCACATTTATTTATAATTTTCGAGCAACCACCCGGTTGAGTCCATTCACCATAAACATCATGATCTTTAAAAAGACGCGTTATATGTATATAATTTTCTCATCTACAAAGTCACCTACTTGTAAATCCAGTTCTTACACTATCATCTCTTTGACCAAATTGTCTTCGTGCGACAACACGAAAACTTCCTGTTTGATTATGTCGTTCATAACAAATGGGCACTTCTTTTTGTCCGATCATAAGACGATTGTCATTATTTTCGGTTAATTCTAAGGCACAAGCACTCATTAATGTACCCGTATTACATTTAGTTGAAAGCTCAGTGTTTGTTAATCCTGTGGAACACACATTTACATTTTGTAATGTTATATCATTTACAGTCGTCCATCTGTAGGCGAGCGATTGAACAAAGACTTTAGCGGAGAGTGTCATATTTTTTCGTTCTTCTTGAATTTGATGTGCTTGTGTTTGACGAATGACACTCGTTGCTTTCATACGCTTTTCTATTGCTTGTTTTAAATTTCTTTTTATCACGCTATTTGTTATTAAATCATACCAAGGCAAATATTTTTCAACTGTTAATAAAGCCGGATTATAGACGATTGTCTTCTTCCATTCATCAGTATTGTTTATTAAGAGAATATTACCACCAATTCTATGGTCTAATAATTTTTTACGTCTCATGTAATAAAATTTATCAATACATGGAGTTTGTTCTAGTAGTTCTTGTTTCAAATTTTCTTCAAATATCGACTGAGAGAGTCCATCAGTAATTTCACTTGTATCTATCACACAACTTTTAAACAGAATTTGCTGCTCTGTCATACCACCAACTTTAGTAGATACAGTAATATGTGTTCCCCAAGCATCTATAAAATTTTCATAAAGTTCGTCATTGTATTGAACTGTTAGAGCATCAACTGCTCGTTGAGCATATTTATTCAATTTCAATGCTTGATCTTCATCTTTTATTGTTACTGTATACATCGTCTTCAAATCTTGAGTTATTGCTGTGGCTTGATTATCTTTGAAATAATTGTTATAAACATCAGAAATGTTTTGAACATGTGCTAGTTGACCGCCAGTCCATCCACCAGCTTCTGCATTCTTAAGCCATACATCAACTAATTCAGTTTCTGTATGAAATATGCGAACATTAATACCAATTTCATTCAATGACGGCTTCGTTAGTGTTATTTCTGGTGGAACGAGAAATATTTGCTGTGATTCTTTTTCCATCCATTGACGATTACCTGTGGATAGCTGCAAAGCTGGTAGCAAAAGGTTACCAGTACTTACGTCGATAGCCATACCCACACTGTGTGGCAGTTGTAAAACAGCGGGTAATTTTCTGGATTTAATATTGTCAGATGTTGCAGTGTCTTCGCCACCGGGACAAAACATTCCATGAAAACCGATAATCGGACATAAAGCTGCTCGTGCACTGGTTAAATTAAAAGGACTATCAATAGATTCAGTTTCATTTAATAATGATTTTGTATTTTTTAGGCTAGATAATTCAGTTGATTGGAATTGAAAGCCACGAATATTGGCCGCTATGACTGCAAGATAAAACAGCACCCACTCTTGATTAACCACTCCATAAAAGAAAATATGCATTATCATTGTAGAATAATATTTAGTAATCTGCTTTGCCCGGTAAATTGTCGTTCGTTTTGCCTCTCAGTTAATCTGATAACAAGTGTAAGGATGCTAAAAGAAGTTTAAATTGCATCTTTTCTACCTTCTCTTTATGGATATATGAAGGTTCTGTTTCATGTATGTATGTGATGATCCGAAAAGTTCGTTTTAATAAATGAATGCATAATTGCCGAGGATAATTCACGATAACAAGTTTATTCTATAATTCAATTCCGTTCTTTTTCGATTGAATAAAGAAATATAACTAAGCATAAATATACAAATTATTGTTTAACCGGAAAATCTTTCCATGTTTGAATTAATAATTGAAAAAATTTTCAACTAGTATGTTTTTTACCACTCTTATATTTACTTAAGAAATTGAAAACAAAGTTTCTATTCCACGAAAACTGATATACATTCTAGAATAGAAAAATACAAATGAAATTAGTATGGAAGAGTACAGTCTTTGCCAATGATTTTAGAAACATGTAATACATTAGTCTAAAGCAATTCTTTTACTTCCTAATGTTGTTTGAAAGGTCAAGATAGGAGCAGATGATTTGCTTTAATGCCAAGGAAAAATTACCATTTAAAGAGCTTTATAATTTAAATTTAATCATCAGGTAAAAGCATTATTTTCATATTTTTATCAAGCTTCACTAAACATTGCCCCTCGAAATTTTCAAAAAGAATTAACTCATCACGATGTATAGTTACTTCCTTTATTTTTCTTATTTTCAAACTTTCAACGAAAATCAAGGTTCATTTGCTCCAATAAAAAGCATGGAAGTAAATTTGCATGATTTAAGATAAACAGAAATTACATCTAGTTGAAATGGTTATTCATCACACTATGATTCTTCTCTATTTCTCTTTATAAATAAGGTTGAAATAACGGAGATGAATTCATTTTTCTCTAATAGTCTATAAGCAATAACAATTCAACCACTCGGTAATCCAAACAAAACGGAATCTTTTTGTCAGTATACGGAAGGTATGTGCTGCATTCATTTTGTCATCATAAATGTAACATATATTTATGAAAGGAAAAGATGCTAAAACTGTTATTCTTACTACTGGTAACAATTGTTACAGCAAAAGATTTACCTGGATTAGATTATCTGACATCTGGCTTTGATGCCTTGAAGATGATTAGCAATAATGAAGACGTTACATCATCGGATCGATCAAAATTTCGTTTGTTTGATTTAAGTGAGCGTGATGGAAATGACTATGAATTGGAAGTAATGAACAAGACTCATACATTTTCAACACCAAGCCTCATTCAAGTTACCAATATCAATATGAAAACCCGTGTCAGTGTTGAATCAGTTTCATATACGTATAAAGAATTTTTTAATAGGTAACTATTAGTATAAAAGCTATTATTCAAGAAGTAAATGAATAGAATGATTATCTGTTTTACAGTTATTTCAACTCATATTCATTTTCGTTTTCAATACCTGTGGGACCAGTACAAGTATCAATGGGTTACCATAGTGCATTGAAGATGGCCTATCAAGCAATAACTAAAAAACAAACGGCCATCGGAATGTCAACAGATTGGTGGGGAATGTTTTCTGTTCAATTGGCACCAGCATATATCCTGAAGTATGTGTTTACTATTATAATTCATACTACCAACTTCTGAAAGTGTTCAGAATCCACAACGAGAGAAGTGAAATGAAGTATAGAACATAATGTATGAGTATGAAAAAAACTCAAATATCAAGAATTCCGACAAAATATTAAATAATTACCCTAATTTGTTTTCCAACTTTCCAGGGGAATGACTGGAGAATAGAGTGGATACTAATGAGAAATGAGTTCGAGTTTTTTGTTGATTTAGTGTTCACACTTCGACACATCCGTCCTTCGTGTGATTTCATCAGAGAGGAAGAAAAAACATTTTTCAATTTCTTCTCTAAAATTGTTTGTCATTATATTCATATTTTTGCTAATTTTTTGAGAACTTAATATAATGATGGAGACATCGAAGGATATGAACGTTTTTGTGCTGAAGAAAAAGAGTTACGTTTATACTATTCTGCTGACTATAAATTCGAAGCAATAACCGACAACATTTCTTTCCAGATAATGTTGGCTAACCTTATTTCATCTTTAGGTTTGATCCTATATTCAATCGCAGTCTGTCAAAATTAGTTGCTAATCCGACAACAGACTCCAAGCAAATGTATTATAACCAGTTGGTATCTACATTTGGCACTCATTATATTTCGTCGATTGTTGTTGGTGGTACTGTAGAAATGTTCACTCAAGTCAATAGTGAATTTCAAGAAAGTCATAGTAAAATATCAGTATCACAGGAAATAGGCATCGGATTCGGTTTAGAAATGGGTCAAATATCAATTAGTAATAGTTTTGGTAGTGAAGTTGGTGTTAATACCGAAGATTTTAAAAAAAATACTCAAATTCAAGTCGAATTCTCTCCGGCTGTAATAACAACACCTGAAACAGAAAAAAAAAATATGATATTTGGTTGGATCGAGCTTCATCTACGCCAGTAGTTGTTAACCGAACTCTATCACCATTGGTAGATCTATTGATCGAATATCCGGTTGAAATACGACGTCATCTACAATTGACTATTGATTATTACTTGAAAAGTGGCACATTACCAACTATCGATCAACTCATGAATGCCAACAAGCGTAGAAAACGTGAAACCAATGATCATAAGGCCTTACCAGGTTTAGATGTTGTCGGATGTGGCTATGATATTTTCTCATTGAAAAGTAAATCTTGCCTATTGGATATAACAATGAATGATAATACAACATGGCTAGATGTATTTAATAATTTCAGGACATATAAAGTTCCAGATGGATTTTTTGTAACAAGCACTAAAGATTTGTTATCAATGTCAGATACAAAATTTTTTAATACGTTGAAAGAATTCATTACTGATTCATATATATCAAATCAACAAGATTCATTTGGCTTCTTAGGCTTTGGAGCATCGACGGACAAACAAGAAATGAGAACTAGATATCAAAGATTTTATCAACACAAATATCGAATGGCATGGACAAAACAACAAATCATTTGGTTTACATTAGCTGCAGCGACATTTCCTTCACCTAAATTCAGTCGAGTTGCTGACTTGTCGATTGCTGGTTTGCCAACAACATTCGATTCGAATTCAACTGATTACGAGAAATTTCAGCGATTTTTCGATGCCTATGGTACTCATATTGTTGTTCGAGCTGATATAGGTGGCATGATGTGGGCTGAAGACTATTTTGAGTCGTGTTTGATCACTAAAATGACCGAAAAATGGATTCGACGAGAAATTACCAAACGTTATTGGTTTTTTGGTACAAGTCGAGAAATCATTGAAACTTATCACAAAGAAGTCGAAAAAGAATATCAACAGAATTCGTTATCCATCCTCAAGATCATTGGAGGATTCACTTCAATAGTTCCATTCAATGGTTATACTTGGCTTCCGACGGTCAAAGACGATCCAAGCCCAGTTACATATGTATTGCAACCTATCTACACACTTTTGCCACAAGGTCCACAGCGTAATGCATTGAAAGAAGCAACATTTTACTTTCGATCGGCCACAGCTAATCAGTCGAACTTATATATTCAACGTTTAGAATCTGAAACGAGTCCACCACCTTTACCACAATTGAAATGTACCGAACGGCGTCGACGACGAAAACGTTAGAGTAATCTGGGTTAATTCAGATCACTCCAGCAAAAGTCGCTATGACCTTATTTCTCCATCCCTGAACTCATCTCTTATCTGTTCTTATAAAATAAAAAAATATATCACTCGATAGCTCTAAATGTTTTTTATGTGATCTCAAAATATCTCAATGAACGAATGTACAGCTGTGATGTAATAGTCACAACACTGACATCACTATCGCTCACTTTTCATAAAATAAAAATCTATCTGGAGTAATTCCGATCAGCTAAGCAATTTCACCTGGGGTAATTTCGATCACTGAAGCTATTTTAGCTGATGACCACTTATCAAACCTATGTCACTTTTAGAATATGTTTTTGATCAGTACTCGTCAGAGAAAAGTTGTTCAGCTCTCTTTTCTCTATTTAAACATGAAAAATAAAGCTAAGTTCCATGTGATCGATTAAATATTATGCTAGTTGACGGAATGGCAGAAAAACGTGATCTTCTTGTGAGTGACCACTCACTCTTTCTCGTACTATTTCGGGCATATGATAGATCATAGAAAAAAAACAGTTTACTGTTTCAGATTCAAAAATGTTTGGGCTACAGAATAATATAGAAGAAAAATTTTTGATAATCATTATTGCTGACAAGGGAACATTCCCAGGTGTCGGCACGCTTTTCAGTCGGGGTTTCGCGCATCTTGTATCCCTTAGTGAGCTGTGTCTATGGTAAAAAAAAGTTCGTGCCCATGGCTTGTTTCTAGCGCGATACCGATGTTTTAATGAATTTTCTCCGTAGGACCCTACTTTTCCAGTGCAACCATATTTTCGAATTTTGACATAAAAGTTTGTCCACATAAAGTTCTCAACTAGACCAGCTTGCAAAAAAAAATTCAGAATTTTTGGACGGAGTCTCTTCAGGATATGAAGATTCGATGAAATAGGCTCTTTTCTTCAGATAGTATATACAGAATGCACTTTTGGAAGTGTCCATATCTCGAAGAGACTTCGTCGAAATATTCTAAATATTTTTTTGCAAGCTAGTCTAGTTGAGGACTTTATGTGGACAAAGTTTTATGTCAAAATTCGAAAATATGGTTGCACTGGAAAAGTAGCGTCCTACGGAGAAAATTCATTAAAACATCGATGTCTCGCTAGGAACAAGTCATGAGCACGAACCTTTTTACCATAGACACAGCTCACTAAGGACTACAAGATGCGCAAAACCCCGATTGAAAAGCATTTCGACACTTGGGAATGTTCCCTTGTGAGTTATATGGGTGTTTATCAGGTTCGAAGAAACCATGATATTATAAAATTTTCAGTTTATTTAGATAGCAGTCTTATGAAAGTGGTAAGTCACCATAAAATATAGTATATAGTACAAACAAAGTTAAATTATGCTTCTCCACTAAATAATGAATAAGAAGACAAAACCTAAGTAATCAAAAAAATGAGAAAGAACTTGATTTGTACCGAGTATTGAGAAAATCATCACAGAGAATAAGAAAATCCTATAATATAAAAGAAACAACAGCTGAGTTTGCTTGACATATACAGGAAGTACAGAAGAGTCGATGTCATGAGCTATAGACAATAAGAAAATGAAAATTGTTTTATATATAAAATAGCTATTTGATGATCATGAAACAGTGGAAATAGGTTCGAATACATTATTGATGAAACAGTTTTATGAATTAAAGAAAGGCAAGTTATTAGTGAATCGTCATGTACTTTTAAATGCTTGAGAGATAGATGATCTCTTGTGATATGTTTGTGATGAACTATTTGAATTTGGTTCAATGAAATCAGAGTATCTTTAATAATAGACGACGAGTATGGAAAATGTTGTAATGCTAAAATTTCACGAGAGATAAAGTGTCCAAATGAGACGATAGCAAAAGATGAACGAAACAAGCATATCTCATTGAATAAAATAAAACAATTAATTAATGGTAATTGAAGATTGAATAGGAATCATTGATGGATTTGATGATACAATGAATATTGTGCTATTTTGAGCTGATCTTACAGGTGAGTCTAGAATATAATATATAATCTTTATCGGCACAGATGCGAAAATTTAAAAAACTTAAGAAATAGTTCAGTGTATCACTTTTAGAAAAGCAAGAATTCCAAAACACACCATCTTTAAACTTCATATTATCCTACCATTTGTTTGTGATTTACGCTGCTTTGTATCATTAGATTTTCGATTAGTAGGACGCGACTGTTTAGAAGCTTTTTTCTGTTTCTGCTCTTCAAGTTGTTTAATAACATCACTCTCTGTCATTATTTGTCCAGAAGATCGCTTGAACATCGCTTATATCTATTGCGACAAAGTATACAAAAATCGTTTCCAATATAGTAGCTATATAGTATTCAACATTACTATCTTCATCAGATGTATCAAAGCCCATTATTTGTTATCCTCCTTTTTTACGTTTATTGGCTTGTCCGGGTAGAATTGATTGTTGATGTTTGATTTTCGATATATTATTCGTTTGATATTCTTGTATCGCTCGAAGTGATTTTTCAGATGATATATTTTTTAAAACGTTATCTAGAAGGATCATTTTTACAATAGAAACAATACAACTGTTGGAATTACCATCTTCATTGGATGCTTCGATGATAACTACTTTTGATGGTATTTCTTTGCGCTTAGTATCTCGTTGTGATGAATTTGATTGATTATGTTTAATAGTTAGTGATGTATTTTTTAAATATTCTTCGTTTTTCGTAGATGAAATCATAATTGACGAAGCAGAAGTAGATCGATGTGGAATATAATCTTCGTCTTCGTCATTATCATCATTATTGGTACTATTATTTGATATTGTCTCTTGTAAAACTTGATCAAGAGCAGAAATAGCATCTTGAGAAAAAGTAAGAGAAGAAAAGACAGGTTGAGAAGAACATATAGTATTATTCATCGGACGATAGCTATTAGCATCAGTATTGTTATTCAATGTATCAAAGTTGATGGATGAAGATGAATCATCTGTTTGATCATTTCTAATATCAATAGTTGAAAATGAAGTAGTAATAGAAGTATTATTTTGTAAAATACGTGACCGATCTATAGATTTTGGATTCAGTGGAAAAACGCCTGCCTTCATAAAAGACTTTACAATATTGTTTCGTGTTTGAATTGTTTCAGTTTCCCATAATTGTTTCAAAAGTGATGAAAATCGGGCTTTGTTGATGGTTTTTATTATGTGTACGATTATATTCCATTTTCAAAATTCTATGAGGAAATTACACAAATTTCATTAGAAAGAAAACTTACTTTTTTCATTCGATCTTCAACGGATTAAAAAACACAACATCAAGAGGTTATAAAATATGGATCGCATTTGATGGAAGACAAAGAATTATTCTGAAAGTTTTAGAAAACCTTTACTTGATTTAGTGAACAAAGATGACAGAAATGAAGAAAGAAAATTTATTTGACGACTTGCACATTGTTTTTAACAGCTAGTTTGAGTGTTTCGATCTTGAAAGGGCTTCCATGACCATCGACGATCAAGACTAATGGACGACTAATGGGCGTGGTAACTCTTTTGTATGCTGTAAAAAAATTTGCTCACACCATTCATAAAACAACATTTATTCCATTCAACTAATTACTATTAGGAAAAAATTCTTTTATTTCTATTTGTGGAAAAAGCCAAAAGCTATAGGAAGCTGTAGGACCCAAAGACACAAAACATCTTTGTAATTCTTGGTTAAAAGAATCTAGAAATCTGCTAGTAAGGTATCAGAAGTATGTGTTGAATTTCATATCAGTTGACCTCCTACAGCAATCGTCTTCCTGAAAATGGGTATAATACCAACAAGTACGAGAAAATCATTTTATTAGCAATTAGAAACCCAATCAAAGCTATTATCTTCAATAGCACGTCGACTTTTTAATTCAAAAGTAAATAAAAAATCCCTTTGAAAAGTACTCAGATAAAGGCATTCGGGTCATTTCAGACCAAACAACCCGGGAAAATGGCACGAACATCGAAGAAGGAGTCCCTCAATCACATTCGGTGGATGGATTTTTTTAATTTCGATTTAAATTGACCATAGTTAGAGAGAGCTGGCCACTGGATCATATCAGTGGATTTCAGCTTCCAAGCTTCTATTATTTTCCTTAGATTACCAGCCGTAAATGGCATTTCTCTGGCAGTAATTTGCGGAAACTTTACGGATCCGTATGCAGGTATCACCGATCTAGGCACGAGTAATATTATTAGACAAAATTTTCTTTTTAAGCCAAATACTCAATAGTTATCTGATGCAGAACTATGATAATGCAAGCTCAGCAGCAAACTATTTGAGTCGTTAGATAGATGAAAGCTGTATCTCTCGCTTCTTCATACGTTTTTCTCTTATTATTGCATTATAGATTCCATGCTATCTATGAGATGTTTATAGAAAACGCTGGGCTAGATTACGGCAAGTATTAGCAAATGAAGCCTTCTCAAAAAAGAATTGAATACTCTAAAGAAGCATTCTCGTTTTGATGCTCTGAACAAGACCAAAGAATTTAATGTACAATTATCTTAGATAATCGCAATGAATATTAATGAAGCTAAAAGATTTTGATGGACTTTATGCAAGTTATGAGCTTCCTAGTAGTTTTGTGAGAATGGTGTTCATTAGTGTTTTCCTGAAAGAAAATTACTTGTTAGAATTACTAAAACCGGTACCTGGTGGTCCTCCACAACACCATTCGTGAAACAACCGATTCGATTTGTAAACAACAAATGGTGGCAAAAGAAAACCAGTAGCTGAAGCGCAAAACATAACACTGGTATATACTTTTCCACCAGGATCTCCTTGAACTTGATAGGCATTAGATGTTCGCCGATGCACCAGCACTTTGCAGTAGCCGATGCCGTCAGACATGCCTACCTATAGTAAAATTTAATTATGATAAAACTAGTCGTAAGAGCAAATATATTATTTTCACCTGTTTCATCACAGTTAAACAACTGTGGTGGACGATTTACTAGATCATTTTCTTTGGTAATTTTAGATAATAGTTCGGACCATTGATCAATTTGTTCAGAAGTTAGTGCTGCACGTTTTTTTTCCAAAGGATATGACTTTTTTAAAATGAGATTTTCGTGTCGTTTCAAAAACGAATGAAGCCTATCATATGTTGATGTTTCTGCTGGAAACATGTGGCTCTTTTTCAGAGATGAAGCATATTGTTTAGAAAGATTCAAAAATTCGCTGATTGATAACAGTACACCCCAGTTCTTTGTACAAAATGTTTTTTCAATTGAAAAAGAATAAAAGAATTTTTTTTACTTGTAAAACAAGAACTGCTTGTTCAAGATACTTTTCGTCTTCGTTACTGCATTTAGTTGGTCGACCAGTTCGGCCATATAAAACTTCATTATTTACATAAGAATTTAGAGTCGAATATGGAACAGAATAAGTATTTGATGCTTCACGAATCGAAGATCCATTCGTTACTGCTGTTATAGCCAGTTTAAGATCATTATCCTGGTACTTCTTTTTCACATTCTTTTTAATATAATTTCATGACATTTGTTACAATTATCCGTCTAATCCAACGTCACCGACAAGCAGTAAAAACCTTTACAAAATGAAAACAATTAAAGTAATACAACGAACACGCTTATATACCAGAGAAAGGGGAAGAGAAACGACCAGGAATATCGATCGTGATATTTGTTCTTTCTTTTTTTTTCGTCCGCTCATGCAAGTAAATATGTAACGCATCTCGAAAATGTAGAATACGATGGCAAATTTATTTGTATGATATCAATGAACTAAAATTGAATGAATCATGATCATATCCTTCAAATATAAAGAAAGAAGTTCATAAAAGGCCATCCATTATCACTGGAAACTATTAAAAGTGTTTCAAATCGAAACACTCATTATCATACGACAACGAATCGATCAAAAACTATTTCTGCCATAGGAAAAAGTCATCGTTATCATTTTAAAATCGCCTATGTGTAGTGAGATCACTGTTCAAATGAAAAACGTGCTTCTGAAAAAAAAATCAACAAAACAATCAAGTCCTACAGCCTCATAAACACCTATATAACTCAGCAATAATGATTATCAAAAATTTTTCTTTTATAACATTTTGTAGCCCACACATTTCTGAATTTGAAGCACTAAACTGCTTTTTTCTACGATCTATCATATGCCCGAAATAGTACGAGAAAGAGTGAGTGGTCACTCACAAGAAGATCACGTTTTTCTGCCATTCCGTCAACTAGCACAATACTTAATCGATCACATGGAACTTAGCTTTATTTTTCATGTTTAAATAGAGAAAAGAGAGCTGAACAAATTTTCTCCGACGAGTACTGATCAAAAACATATCCTAAAAGTGACATAGGTTTGATAAGTGGTCACCAGCTAAAACAGCTTGAGTGATCGGAATTACCCCAGGTGAAATTGCTTAGCTGATCGGCATTACCCCAGATAGATTTTTATTTTATGGAAAGTGAGCGATAGTGACGTCAGTGTTGTTACTATTACATCACAGCTTTACATTCGTTCAATGAGACATTTTAAGATCCCATAAAGAACATTTAGAGCTATCGAGTGATATATTTTTTTATTTTATAGGAACAGATAAGAGATGAGTTCAGGGATGGAGAAATAAGGTCATAGCGGCTTTTGTTGGAGTGATCGGAATTACCCCACATGGGGTAATTCCGATCAGCTCGATACAACTTTTGCCATTTTTGTTAATATTTTTTTTTCAGAACATGACCTTTCGGTGATTTTTTTTATCATTAGATAGAGAACATTTCGAACTAGTTGTGGTCCAAAAATCATCTTTTTATCATATAAAATGAGGAAGAATGAACAAAAACAAAATCAAATTTTTAATTTTTGATCGAAATTATCCCATATTACTCTATTCAAAATAATCGTTTTTTATCTGGATTGAAAAATGCACGAGCAAAATTGTGCCTGATCGCTGGTTATCATGGTATGTTTTTCCCAGGCGATGCAAGAATCGGCGCCGTTAATCAAACATCCAATGCTACCAATGGTACTCGACTACCATTGCGTTTACGCTCCTCGTCGATACTTCCTCTACCACGAAGTGTTGGAATGGCTATAGATATTAGTACGGGCGATATTCTTTTACCGGCATTGAATTTAACTCCAGGCAGCTTGACTTGGACGGATTTAGAAACTGGTCAGACATTTTTCTACCTAATGAAGTCATACTTTCTAGCCGACAGATCGATGACAATA